GCTCATGAGACCTAACAAGGTAGAAGCAAGTCTCGATGACTCCGCTCCAAGACAGCCGTAAACGTCGTAAAGTTCTATTTTCATTTTCACAACAAAACCAGAGTGCACTGTCAGTACAACACAATCACGTCACTAATAAATCATACGCTAGCCTACACTACAACATACAGTACACAGACTACCCGCTACACGTTTTTTTAGTAGGAATTAGCGTCAAAACAAACGAGTACAGGTTAACACCATTATCCGTTTCCTTGAAACCACGACGGCCTGACTTCTAGTAAGTCTTGGTAGTAGTACTGTAGTACATAATTATCGACTAGGACCAGTACTGGCAGTAGGTATACGAACGCGTGTGCGCATAGGTATGCGGCGTAGTCGCAGATCTCGATCTACACTCCAGACGTTCGCATATGCATGATCGAGCATAGTACTGCCTGGGTAACGATGGTGATGGTGACGATGATTCCTCTTCTCTCTTTTTTCCCTTCACTTTTTGGCTTTAGTTTTAGCACCGGTTACACTCGAAGGTCCCTGGTTCGTGTCCTGGTGGTGACAGTCAATGTTTTCTTCAGACTTTTCCCGTTTGGGTCTTTCCCTCAGCCCAGTCATTATGTTTATGTTCGCATATTTCCATTCATTGTGTTATGTGTATTTTGCCCGTAAACATGATAAAAGAGGCTATGTCCAGTACAGTCAGCTTCGCGTATAACGACACTCGACGGAGCACTGGAAAAGTGTCCTTATTCGCGAAGTGTCCTTACTCCCGAAGTCTCATTATATGTATTACAGTTAGATGGGACTTTGGTCTGGGCATGGAAATTCTGTCGTTATTCGCGAATTGTCGTTATATCCGCAGTCATGCAGTTCATCGGCGCAGTCCTGTGGAACCAGCTCCCGCCTGATCTCCGTTCCGAGCCCAGCCACCTTCAGTTCTGCTAAAAGCGCATCATGGCTCCGTGTAAATGCTTTTCGGCTAGTGTTCTTCTGTGGTATAGCGGACTGAAGAATAGTAAACGTGTTTTTCAATATATGTGTGAAGGTATTTTGTATATAGTATGTTCCCATTCCGTTTTTGCTTTGGTGTAGCCCTGAGGTTGATTGCTTATTTATTTCTACCCTTCCTCTCTCCATACTTCTGTCCCACCCTCTCTCTCATTCCTTCTGTCGTCCACATGTATCAAAGGAGGCGAAATCGCCTGTTTGTGGTGCGACGTTAAATTAACTTCTACAACAACAACAACAACAACAACAACAACAACAACAACAACAACAACAACAACAACAACAACAACAACAACAACAACAACAACAACAACAACAACAACAACAACAACAACAACAACAACAACAACAACAACAACAACAACAACAACAACAACAACAACAACAACAACAACAACAACAACAACAACAACAACAACAACAACAACAACAACAACAACAACAACAACAACAACAACAACAACAACAACAACAACAACAACAACAACAACAACAACAACAACAACAACAACAACAACAACAACAACAACAACAACAACAACAACAACAACAACAACAACAACAATAACAACAACAACAACAACAACAACAACAACAACAACAACAACAGTCGTTATTAGTGAAGTTGACTGTACATGTATATCACATGTACACATAGTTGTGAATTCCAGCAGAAATCCAAGAGAGCTCGATACCGGGAAGGTAGAGCCGTGACACACTAGTCAGAACAACAGATGGCTTGATCAGTCACAACTTAAAGTTTCATGCCATCTCAGGCACTCATCAGGTGATATGAACATCAAGAAAAATAACCCACTATTTAAAGCCCAGCATGGCGGGACAAGGATTACAGAAAGCGCTAGGGGCACATACATGTACATGTACATGTATGTGGTGACTCTAGTCTAGAAGAAGAGTACGAACGCTCTAACAGAAGTTAACGCACTACAAGCCAGACATACTGACACGCTGTGCGTTGAGAAAAGTCAGTATCCCTGCCTGCAACTAACTAACTAGCTTGGAAGCCAACCAAAAACAGGTCAGGAACACTGTTCTCAGCTCAACCCAGTTACAGACAGTGGGAGTCTGAGTCCTAGATCCTCCGCCTCGTACATGTAGCTTCAGGATGCACAGAGGTCTGCACCATGGGGGGTAGACAGTGGGAGTCTGAGTCCTAGATCCTCCGCCTCGTACATGTAGCTTCAGGATGCACAGAGGTCTGCACCATGGGGGGTACCACCAGTGCACAGCTCAAGCGCTCACTCCTGCTACCTGCGTTAGCTACCGGCAAGGCGCACAAGGTCAAGGGTCCGAAGAAACCAGCACCAGCCACCAGCTGTATTTTGTGCGACTATCAAGTGCAAGTGTCGGCAGTCGCAGTGGAGAGACTCAGAGAGTAAAGATCATGATGATTGTGTGCTGTGCATGTGCTTGTGCTTGGTGACTGTTGCCTGCATGTTTGGGTCTTCATCAGGATTTTAAATTCTACTATTACTACGACTAATACTACATGTACTACTTGAAACCCCTAAATAGTAATACTACCATGCCGACAGACTCAGGAGATCTACTACAGTACACTCTACACTACAAGTACAGTGAAATCTCGTTAGAACGAACACTGATAAGACAAAAGTTTGCCTAAGAAGAACTAGTATTCGTAACTGTATTTGATAAAAGTTAAAACCCTGTGTATTCACTGGGTAAAACATATAGATAAGAAGAACTCCCGTTATTACGAACAAATATCATCGGTCACTTGATGTTCGTCCTAAAGAGGTTTGACTGTGCTTGTATTTATGTATTCTACACAGTAGGCCTTATACCGCCGAGGAAGTCTCCGTCCAAATCGAGTCTACACTCATGTATTTTATAAGTACAACGTTTCGTTTGGAATTACTAGTAACCCGCTTTACATGTTACTACTTAGCGGGCACGAAATAACAAACGTTTGTACCAAACTACAGAGTTTTTTTCTGAAATTTAGTACAAAACGAGCCTGCTGGTGGAGTCTAACGAAAGATTTCGCGAACGAACATTAACGGTTTCTATCATTTTAGAGTTTTTCAGTGGAATTGTCATGGCCAAGATGACGTCCGATCAGATCGACCATCTGTGATGTGGCTATTCCAAACTCTTTGGAACTAATTCACCTCTCCCTTCGGATGAGGTTGTGGAGTTTCGAAGAGTTTCGTTTTTCTGAAGAGGCCTCTTCAGGAAAATGAAACTCCTTGAAAAGTCAAAGAGTGACGAACACTCCTCGAACGCGCCCCAAAGTGTATGTTCTACAACCTTATCCAAGCTGGCCTGCATGCACTCTCGTACTCACCTTTTGTCTCCTTTTTCCGTTGGCCTGGGTAGCTACTTGCCCGCCCATAATTGCCGTAGCTACCCAGGCCCTTTATCTTGCCGTTCACACTTGATCTCTATCTCCTAGAGTACATGAAAACCAGAGTGTGCAGCTCGAATGGGTTGCTGTCACGGCGAAATTCGGTGATTACATCATTTTAGTGATGTAGCGCGTACAAGCAGGATTCAAGCAGGTCTCTTTCTGCACAACCGCAGCTCAGTTATACGCACTACGCCATTTCCCGCCTCAGATCTGCACCAAAATGATGTAATCACGGAATTCTGCCGTGACAGACACCCATAGCAGAGAAGGCCCCAAGCTGCACACTCTGGTTTTCATGTACTCTTGCTATCTCTTGTCTCTCTCTCCCATAATGTCGCCGTAGTAGTTCGTCTTTGTCTCCGTCTCCCCAATAAATGTCGTTCTACCTACCTGTCTCGTTGTCCGTTGTGTCTGGAGAATTGAGTGAAAGCTGTACTGAACAGTACTATACACGTCACGATCTACGTATTTCTATTCGCACTTGGTAAGCATGGTAGAATTACAGTTCGTGCAACACAATGACGTGCATGCAGTTCGGCTTCGGTTTGGGAAGAATATGAATTGGTGGGACGATGATTATTATTTGAAGTACGTAGGTCCCACCACGGGAGAGAGTGGAGTATTTCTATTGTTTGGGGGAAACTAGCAAGTACTAGTAGCATGATGGTTTGCTCATGTGTAGATAATGATGTCTACGTGTCCTGCTCATCCTCGCCATTTCCAGGCGCAGGTGCTAGATGCTCGCTACGAGGGAGCCACAGGTTGTCTGAGATCGTCATAAATGCTTGTGTTTAGAGCTGAGGGCACGGCATAATAGTACTAACGTTAGTAGTAGCGGACAAGAAAATCGTAGCTCTTTTTAGTTTTGCTCCTGTGGCCTGCTTTCGTCCTTTGCCAGTTTGTGAGGCGTTGTGACAGTGGAGTAGAAGTAGTAATTGCCTCTATCGTGCAGTGATACCCTCAGCTGATAGCAGTACGGTATAGTAGTCAAGTAGTAGCGTGTGCCGGCTGCCAAGCATCCACTCGGACAACGTCGGACCTGTCCGTTTTGCTTCAACACAAGGGTAAGGAAAGAAACTGAAACATCTGACACTGTCAGGGTAGATTCCACCTCTGCTAAAAACGACATCATAATAACATTAGGTGAAAACTATGGATAACATGATTGTAGAGTTGTGGCAAGTGAAATCCCCCATTTGCGATAAGGGGACAGCACCTCAAATGTACATCGATGATGTAATGCACTGCACCTAAGCTGTATGCATCGCAGACAGATCGAAAGGTTACAGCGTAGATACCCACAGTTCACAAACATGGTACACATCACTAGTGACATAAGGAGTGCTGGTATCCAATCTTCATTCATTTTTGCCAGCACCGTTTGAACCCTGACTGGTGAGTACAAGTACTGTCATGAGACAAATAAAAGTTGTATGTAACACATGTACTACGTATGCAGGGCTGCAGGTCCCAGTGCATGATGCATGGTGCAGTTCCTTATGCCAAGTGTAGAATTTCACTTGCCAAGACTGTAGCATGTTAGAATCCTTTTCTTTTAATAATAATGGGATTCAGTGTTGTCCATTTTGACCTTATCAGGATCATGGCATTGCGAAGTAAGATGAAAATCAACAGCAACAACATGGATGACGCGGTAGCTGCTGCCAATGACTTTGTACTGGCTGCGCGACACAACCACGACGGCCTGGCTGATACCTACCATCGTACAGTTCGCGATGGGAACGGGACAGCTTTGAGCGATTTGTTACGCCATATGAGGTCTTGGCCGGGTAAGTGTCGTTTACCAGAGCTCACAGTGAACATACAGCTCACTGGTAACGGTCCATACCCGAGCAAAGAGGAGCTCATGCTGTATGCATGCGGAAAGCTGCGCGAACGGTTTGCCCCAAAAAGCCGGCGGCCTAGTGCCCATGTGTCCAAGTCCTATCGAGATAACATCCATACTTTCAGTATGGATGTCACGCCAGCAGCATTGTGCGGGAGCCACACAGCTCTGCATACTGTTGCTACCTCGCCAGTCTCGCCAGGCTCAAGACGAGCACGGGCTGCAGCTCTACAAAGGGATGCAACTTCACGCCAAGCAACTGAGCCGTGTATCGAGCAATCAGTACCTGGATCAGCTGCTGCCAGAGACGACGACGCTACAGCTGACCTTGATCAAAGCAGCCTGCCACTTCGGCCCCGATGTCTGTTTCCGGACACGGAAGTATCCCGGGCTCATGATCCTCACTTTCAAACGCTGACAAGTACTTCAAATGGCTCTGGCATTTATGGCATAGATGCCAATGCTCATACAAGAAGCATGCGTTTGTCTTTGAGCAAGACAGAGCGCTTCCCAGACTTCCACCTGGTGCTTCTGCTGGGTGGCCCAAGTGCCATCGTAAGTGTGGAGGAGAAGCTAGTGCGCATGTGTGTACGCACTGGTCTAGATTGGTTGGACGACTGCCTGGACAGCTGTGCAGAATGTTGCAGCAGCAAGATCTTTTCCTCCACACCGAGAACCAGTGAGAAGTTACCGACGTACGAGGAAATAGACGGTGTTGGATCCGTAGTTGCCGGCGGCGTCTTCGATGATAACAGCCAAGACGTTGCTCAGTTTGCAAAAACGGTCCGGGCCAAAGTGACTGGTCTGTGTCCTGGTGCTACTCTCTGTGACAAAAGCCATACAATCTGGTCCTTCGGTGGCAACAATAGACAGAATTTGCTGACCACCGCAGCGACGTACTCCATAGCAAATAACCGCTGGCAGGAGCATACCGATGTTGTAAGGTACGGTTGGTCGCACGGACAAGGTGTGTTATTAGATGATGATGACAGTGTGCTTTGCGTGGGCGGAAGTTACCATCCATGCGCACATCCCAAGTGTACTGATCGCTCTGTTCTCAAGTATCAGCGTTCTCTCCTTGCTACCAAGCGGCGCCAAGTACCCACGTGGCTATCTCCCATGAGCACCAGTCGTCTGGACTTCGCGCTTGCTCCTCTCGACACAGGAAGCAAGGCACTGATAGCTGCTGGCGGAAGAAGCCAAAGTGGTAGTTACACGAGCTCGTCCGAGATTTACACCGTGTCAGAAGACAGCTGGAGTAGCGCTGCACGCATGTCCATGCCACGTTCTTGCTGCACGGCTCAGCTTGTCAACAAGGAGCGCGTGTATGCAGTTGGTGGTGTGTACGAGTCATTTCAGACTCCACTGGACACCGTGGACGTGTACGACATCGGCAGTAACAGATGGTCTACGCCAGGTGGTGCACGACTGGCCAGACCGCGCCACACCTCAGCATCCACTGTCCTCAATGGCAATCTCTTCGCATCCGGTGGTATGTGTGACGGCAGCGTTCTATCCAGTGTGGAAATGCTAGATACGCGCGAGGGCAAGTGGCGACAACTCACGGAAATGAATCGACCGCGTGCAAACCATGGCATGGTCACAATGGCGGAGATGGGCGCCATGGGCAACATATTTGTTTTCGGTGGATACGACGGTCGTGCCTACCTCAACATGGCAGAGTGGCATGATATGCGCTTGAATCGTTGGTTTAATTGGCAACAAATGTAACGTGTGTGTGTGTGTGTGTGTGTGTGTGCATGCGTGCATTCGAATGCATGCATGTGTGTGTGTATAGTATGTATGTGTGTGCGCGTGTGTGTTTATAGTACTTGTGCGTGTGTGTGTATAGTACGTGTGTGTGTGTGTGTGTGTGTGTGTGTGTGGATAATACTTGCGTGTGTGTGTGTGTGGCTGTGCGTGTGTGCGTGTGCGCGTGCGTGCGTGTGTTTATGCATTTGAATACTTGCTGCTGGGCGTATGCAGTTAATGTGTGGTGTGCCTGAACCTAAACCACTTCCTCCCATTGAACAACATTCCGTGACCGTACTGGCACCTTACTTCCTTTTTTTTCTCTGAAGTTCTACTGCTCATTTTTCTACTTTCGTATCTTTCTGTTTGGCGCGCATGAGCGGTGCTGAAACCAAGACCCCTGGTCGGTTTAGCTGCTTTTGCCCCGCCTCCACTGCTTCGGCTGCCATCGCCATGTGCATCTCTGTGCGTTTTGGTATGTGGCCATCTTGTGAAAAAAAATAGTATTCGGACACTCTGTGTGTGTGTGTGGGGGGGGGGGGCTGGTTGTCTGTATACATGGCTGTGTGTGTGGCTGTGTACTTGCACACACAATTGCATGCTATAAAGTCTAGCACTGTCAACTGTGTAATGTCCTCAGGTACATACACATACTGTTGAATGATTCGAATGCAACCAACTTACTTGCACTTCATTAGTGTTCGAGGGGACGGGAGTCTGCGTCACGGCGGAGGGTCACCAATATGTCGGTGGGATCATTGGCTGTAAAGAGTATTGCCATCGTGCCTGAGACAGGTACGTCAACAGCTGGCGACGGGAGCTGATGACTCTGGCTGCAATGGCCGAAATGCAACCCCACGCCGCCTACGCTGTGCTAACAAAGAGCTTATCGTCCAAATGGTCCTACCATTTGAATGCCTCATCGATAAACTCCCTCACCCTGGCCCCTCTAGATGAGGCATTGGATTATCATTTTCTTCCTGCCCTTTTGGGCAAGGGAATGGCAGCTGACAGCTCGCCGAGACAGCTTCTGTCCCTCCCGACAAGATTTGGGGGCTTGGCTATCCCTATGGTAGCTAAGTCTGCAGAGGCAGACCATCAAGCATCACTTGCCATCACGGCGTCAATGGTGAACTTGATCGACGCCCACCGTAACGAGAGCGTCCGAGACTCTCCAGCCATCAGTCCGGACCAAAACACGCAGAGCATCTTGGCCATCGCAGAGGGCATGGCAAATCCTGTTCTAGAAGCCATTGGCGAGGCATGAGGCATCGCCCGACAAAAGCGCCAGGAAAAAATCGGTGGATGCCGGCAGATGCAGATACAGCTTTCCGAAGGGCTTTCAACGGTCCAGCTGCAGGTGCTCGCAGTAGCGGATGAGAAAGGTGTCTCAGCATGGTTAACAGCACAACCGTCCTGGACAAACCGCACCGTGCTGAGAAAGTCGGATTTTAGAGATGCCCTATGCATACGATATGGTCTGCCACTGGATAGTGTAAGTGATCATTGTGTCTGTGATAAGTCCATGACCACCCACCACGCCCTCACGTGCCCGACCGGCGGCTATCCGTCGGCTCGCCACAACGAGCTTCGGGACCTCCTGGCGGGATTGCTGCAGGAGATACTGCCCGATGTGGAGGTTGAGCCACGTCTGCTCCCGCTACACAGTGAGGACATCTCTGCCGCCTCCGCTAATCGTCAGCCAGAGGCACGCCTGGACATACGGGCTAGGGGTTTCTGGTTGCGGCAGCAGGACGCCTATTTTGATGTAAGGGTCACTGACCTTGGGCCGTCCTTGCTGTCTCGTCCGGAAATCCTTGCCACCTGAGAACACATGAGAGAATGAAGAAGGCGGCGTATGGTGTCAGAGGCCACCAGGTGGAGAGGGCATCATTCACCCCACTGGTGTTTTCGACCTCGGGTGTGGCGGGCAAGGAAACTACTATATTTCTGAAGTCGCTAGCTGCTCTCGTTGTAGACAAAAACAAAGACGTGGTATATTCTGCTCTGATGGGTGAGTTACGCACCCGAGTTTCATTTTGCCTGCTGCGATGGGCAGTCACGTGCTTCACGGGCTGCAGGGCCTCCTACATTCGCCGCAGGGTCGGGAGCCCCTTTGCAGCTTATTGCCGCCGGCTCTGCTGACACGGCCAGAGCTCTGACCGTTCGCCTTTGCATACCGGTAGGCATTATTACATGTATTAGGTAATGATTTCGTGTGAAGCTTTTGCGTTCAATTTTTATATTTCAATTGAGTACGACGTAGTGGTTGCGACTTCGGCGATGATTTGTAAGAAAGGGTTTGCTCCCCACACCGGAGTCGGCGGAATAGCGCGAGCTCCGGTGTGGGGAGCAAACCCTTTCTTATTTCAATTGAGTGTTCTATTCATTTCCGAAATTGGGTTGTCTTTTTGCTTGCTTGCTTGCAGAGCAAGAGCCTGTCGACGGTCAGCTGGAAGTGAGTTCCACCTGCCTGCCGCCAGAAAAGAAATAGAGCGGGAGAACTAAGGCTCTTTGTGCCTTGCCCCGGGTGCATGCCTGGTGACCAGGTGCAGTTGCCCGAAGCTGGTACAAAGACTGAAGAAGAGGACTAGCAAGATGCTGGGCCAAGCAGCGGTACACAAAAACATAGAGCTTGAGGCTAATACGCTGTTCCAAAGAATAGAGGTGATATAAGCGAAGACGTAGTTCAGTGGGCGTGGTACGATCGAGTCCAAAAACTCTCTTCATTGCTATGTGACTAATGGTTGTGCTTAAACAATGTAGGTAAGCATTACTGGCATATTCTAGGGTAGACAGAATAATAGACAAGTAGAATGTTCGCTTTGCATCATTTGTTAAATTTCTACGGCCATGTCGGAAAGCAGCAACTTTAGCAAAAACCGAGTTACACAATTTATGGACCTGTGGCTGGAAGGTAAGATGCTCGTCTATCAATAAACCAAGGTATTTGGCAGTGCTCGTAGGTGTAAGAGCCTTTCCTTTACAGGTCAAGGGCTGTGCAGCGCAAGGACAAACAATCATGTCGAGGGATGGCACAATCGATTCGCGGCAGTTGTCGGCAAGGTTCATCCAAATTGGTGGCATCTCATCCGGGCGCTGCAAAAGGAGCAGGCAACGACGCAAACGTTGCTCCAACAAATAGCAGCAGGCCAGCAAACCCATCGAGTCCGTCGCGAATATAAGGAAATGAACGCCCGCATTGAAACCAAGGAAATTCCTTTCCTTTCTTTAATGCATTGAAATGTGAAAATCTGTGTTAATTTTGAATTGCGTGGAAATGAGTTTCGTTACTTTGTGTGCTTTACATAGGGATCATGCTAAAATGAGCCTGCGCTCAAATGAGATTGTTCCATGTGAGTGTGGTGGAGGTTGGGGTTCGCGATCGTGAGCGCGTTGGAATGAGCCACGCGGTTAAGGGTTTCGCTGAAGTGGGGGCATTACGGAATGGAGTCCGTCTCGGTGAGGTCTATAGTTTATTTTCAAGACTTGAAAGCAAGGGTAAACACCTTACTGCTCACAACCTGGTAGCTGCCTTGCTACAGGAGAATGGATCCCACCACAGTCCACAGCACTTTAGTACTAGTCGCATAGCTGGCCGACAGAACACGGAAGCGACGTCGTTCGGCGATGCAGATAGCACTACAGGTGATGTCAATTCCAGCAGCTCTGTACCACCGCCGCCGTTGCTAGCTGGCCTAGAACGACCACCCCTGCCTTGTCAACTGCTGATCCTACAACGTATGGATTACCGGATCCTAGAGCACACGCACCAGCGACCAATGCATCTCATGCACCAGCGGCTATGAGATCACATGCACCAGCACCCCTTGTATCACATCCACTGGCGACTATAGCGTCAGACACGGCAGGGGGGATCACGTTCGGTGCAAGGTCTGGGCGTATGGCTTCACAAGGGGGGGGGGGGACAATCGGCATAGCAACCGCCATCGTAACCAGTACCGTGTCGCAGTGCATGAAGATCAGACAAGTATCACCTCACCACGGGTGGTGAGGTGCTAGCGGCTAGCTCTCACTAATACTTATAGAGTCACTGTGCTACCAAGAATAGCAGCGGTAGTGGTGGCCGCAGTAGTGCTGCACATCTACCCGACAGCTATTCTGGACCCACAAGTATCCTGCAAGCACGACAATGGTTGGTGGGGGATCTTCAGGCACAACGACAACGTGGTCAGTTCAGTCTGTCCACTGAGGTGCTGGGATCGGAATCCGGGCACCCACCCAACTCTCACAGCGCCAAAGACTCCAGGGCTGGATTTCGAGAACACGTTTCCGCCACGGGTGGCCACTACCAGCCGTAGATAGCAAACACGATTGTTGTAGCAGCGGGAAGGATGGTGCCAGAGCAGCAGCAGCAGCAGCCGTGTCCTACAACACATCCATACATACAATTAATATTCCGTCTAATATTGCGTCTATATTTTTGAAACGGACAAGGTGCACATTTCAAACAGCACACACACACACTTAAAAGCACATCACACACACTAATGTTGTAACCCATCCACCCAGTGACACGTGTGCTTTTTTGTTCTTAGGAATTTCTATTTCGTTTCTAACACAAGATTCAGCGGAATTTATATGATGAAATATCATCGAAGACGACCGATTTAGTCGCCCAGTAGCAGCCCTGAGGTCGTCAATCAAATTCATTGGAGGACTTGATTTTTCGTACAGCAGCAACGACAGCAGCACGGCCGATGCTGCCCTAACGATATATCACTTTCGTACCATGCAACACATGCATACAATTAATATTCCGTTCAGATAACCGTCCAGTACAAACACGGCTTCTTGGAGTTTCGATAAGCTAGCCAGCCAGCCAGCCCTGGAACATCCGTTAGAAATACGGCTTCGCGCTGTGATTTTCTCTAACAGATTTTCCTGGCAGGGTAAGAGCGAAATAGACCTGTAATTCGTGGGCTCCGCTGTGCTGACTTTGTTCTTGAACGCAGGAA